TCATCAGCAGCAGCAGCAGCAGCAGCAGCAGCGCAAGCAGCAGCAGCAGCAGTAGCAGCAGCAGCAGCAGCGNCCGCCGCAGCATCAGCAGCAGCATCAGCAGCAGCAGCAGCCGCCGCCGCCGCAGCCGCAGCCGCAGCAGCCGCAGCAGCCGCAGCAGCAGCAGCAGCGCCACCAAACAGCAGGCGTGCCTTCTTGTTTGGGTATTCCTTCCGTCGTGGCATCATCATTGCTGGTGGCTGTCGTGTTGGCGGCTTGATTGTTGTTGTTGTGATGGTTGCAGGCGGGGTGGTGGGCAGGGTTTCAGCATTATGAATGGTGGAGATGATGTGCTGCTGCTGCTGCTGCTGCTGCTGCTGCTGTGGTGGTGGCGGTGGTGGCAGCGACGGTTTGGAGGGGCTTGCTGCTGCTAGTCTACTACTTTCTGCTCCTACTCCTACTCCTGCTCCTGCTCCTCCGCCTCGATCTTTATCCAGCATCATCTCCTGCTCCTGCTCCTGCTCCTCCTCCACAGCAGTGCGGCTGCTCTCCACCTCTCAGCCTGAAGTTCCTCCTCCTCCTCCTCCTCCTCCTCCTCCTCCTCCTCCTCCTCCTGCTCCTGCTCCTGCTCCTGCTCCTGCTCCTCCTCTTCCTCCTCTTCCCCCTCCCGCCAGCACTCTATAATAATAATAGCACGTGCCGCCTCACGTACGTTTTGCTTTTCCTGCTTCTTCCTGCAGCATGCAGGAAAAAAACGTTGTATTATAGTGTACATTAAAAAGCACATTTTCTTGTTTCAACAATTCAACAATGATTGTTATTATAATAAAACAAAAGTTGAAGAAAGCTGAAATCGTCTCATATTGCTGCTGCACAAGTCAGTTAACATAACATCAGCAAAGAACCCGAATCGTAACCGCAGTGGTTGCTTCAGCCGTGACTTGAACCCACGATCACCAATTGCGCATTCGTACTGCAAATTACTAGGTCTTAGCATACTAGGCTCATCCACCACTCCTCCGGGAGCAGCCGATGACTCCGACCGGGCAGCGTTAGTCTATATTCTACAACTTTCTTGTAAATCGCCCTTACTGCCGGCGTGTCCTTTCGAGGACGCTAAAGCTGTTTCTTTGTGCTTTTGTTGCGGTGTATTGATTGGTATTTGTCTGGTTCCGTGGCTCGCGCGCATTAGACACATGTCTGCTTCTGCTTCTTCGCGGCTTGTTTTCTACTTGGCGCCTGCTCCATAAATAAAATTTTAAAAACGTCCTGATAGCTCTCGCTGTGACGGTCTCATTTCAATTGTCTGTTTGTCGTCGGCGAGCGGTGAGAAGTTGTTGTGGGAGGGCGGCGCACTTTATTACTAATGACGTATAGTACGACAAAGCGCGATTCGCGGGGTTGTGGTTGTTGTGCTCTTCTCTGTTCTTCTCTGCGTGATATTTAGCATCATCATCATGCTGCAAAATAATGATATTATTATGGTCTGATGCTTTTGATGTTGAACCGCCTTATTATATAGATATACAAACGAGAAAGCGGTTAATATTATAGGTTGCGCCCACCAGTAGTTGGACGACAAAGTATAAGTACATACATATAATTTAGCACTTCTGGAACTCCTATTTTTCAGCACGTATCACAGCAGAGCACGTATCTTGTCAGGCGTGTCCTTATTACTTTCTGCAAAGGCGTGTCCTTATTAATTACGTCAAGGACGCTCTGCTAAAGCTGCTGCTGTATTAGACATATAGATATAATAATAGCATCAGTGGAACATCTCCTGCAGATGGAGGAGGATGATGAGGCCGATGATTAATTACATCACGAACAATCTCTCTGTGTCAGAGTCCGTCCCCCTCCTGCTGTCCTGCTGTCGGTCCCTCTGTTGTCGCTCTGTGTCCATTCCCAGAAATATCACCAAACCCTCTCCGTCCTCTCCGTATCGGCGTATCTGTGTCTCTCCACCACGTCCTCCACCGTCTCGCTACTATACCTCCACCGTCTCCCCACCCCCGACTTTCCTCCCAACCTTATTATAAGCATGTCAAGCGGCGTATCTTTTTGGGCAGTGCGCCGTTGAAGATGAACGTTTAGGAGATGTGTACTACTTGTACATGTGTGCACGACATGCCGCGTCTCTGTACACAGATGTATACAGATGTGTATGTGCTCTTCTGTGTGCTGCTCTGTGATAAGACAAAAAAAGAGGTATATTGCTATAGTAGTAGTCGTAGTAGTTGTAGTTGTATCTGTTGTAGCTTTTGTTGAGTGGTGGCAACGGCAACAATAAGATGATGGATGTACATTACTGTTGTTGCTATTATTATTAGCAGTACCAAACTCTGCTGCTGCGGCCGCCATATCGTGTCATCATGGAGGGGTGTTTTGCTTATTATTAGGTAGGGCTTCATTATCTTTCTGCTGCAGGGAGCTGAACAGGACTACCCCACACTGCTGCAGCTGCGGATACGTAGTATAGCTGTCATGCTGCGTGTGCGTGTGCGTGTGCATGTGCATGTCCATGTGTGTGTGCGTGTGTGTGTGTGTGTGTGCGTGTGCGTGTGCGTGTGCGTGTGCGTGTGTGGAGAGTCTCCAGCCCTCCATCAAAACCCCCTCCCTCCCATTCATCACCGCCTACCCTCGCCCTGGCCCCTGCCACGTCCACACTTCTGCCAGTCCCGCGGGCACATGTGTCCTCCCACCCCCAAACCCCACCTCGTACCAGGTACCCCTCATAAAACCGCTCATACCCCACAAAACCTCAGCCCCGCCAAACCCCAAACACCTCGTACCTCGTGCCCCTCAACAACTCAAAACCCCCAAACCACAACCACACAATTTCAAACATTTTGCCCCTCGTCCCTCGAACACCTAGCACCACAAAACACCAGTTTGAAGACACAAACACCTAGTACCCCCAATCCCCCAATCCTGCAATCCCGCAATCCCCCAATCCCCCAATCCCCCAATCCCGCAATCCCGCAATCCCCCAATCCCCCAATCCCCCAATCCCGCAATCCCGCAATCCCGCAATCCCGCAATCCCCCAATCCCCCAATCCCGCAATCCCGCAATCCCGCAATCCCCCAATCTCCCAATCCCCCAATCCCGCAATCCCCCAATCCCGCAATCCCGCAATCCCGCAATCCCGCAATCCCACAATCCCCCA